CATTAATCAATTTGATACAAGTAAACAACAGTGAATTAATATCACATCTAGATTAATAATGGATTGATTGCTATTTTTAGTGTTTAGTTTTAATCCTTCTCATAATATTACTGATCTTTGGATATTCAATACATTAACATAGAATATAGGCAATCGGTGGGATTATTATGCAATAACTTTGCCTAATCTTAGTATTTTATATATTAGCGAAATTAGTACTACTACCGTAGTGCACTGACCAAAGTATCCAGATACCCGTGGGTATCTTGATCGGTGAATTGTATAGAAGGGTATTTTGTATAGACACATGTGTGATGCAAAAATCAATATGTAGTAGTATAAAAAATATCATGCAAAATATCGGGTAATATCCCCTAGTTAAAAAAATATACCATGTAAAATACCTGGTATTTTAACTGAAAGATACTGAAAATAGATAATACTTCGGTCAGTGCACTATGGTAATATTTTATTTATACAAATTAAATAACTTAAGTGTGTCTTTTAATAAATTAATTAGATAGCTTTTATTTATTAAATATTCTTTTCGTTATCTTTATATAAAACCTCTTTTTTCCAATTCATTACTAGTAATTGTGCATCTAGATGTATACTTTGAAGTTAATTTTAAAAATTTAAAATTATTTATATATATATAAATACAGATCTCATTAGAAATTTCACTTGACCATTATGCACGAATATTTATTTAATAGTTTTTGAGTTTGACACTAATCTTCATTATTAGTTCTGTTGTTGGTTTAGCCATTGGTTTTGTTGGTGTGATTGTTGCTTTAGTATTGGTCTTGTTGGTTTAGTTGTTGTTTTGTTATTATATAAATAGTTGTTTTAAGTGTAAAAAGTTTCGTTATTAAACGTAATAAGTTTTTTTGAGTTTTTAATTATATCTGACTCTGATTCAAAAACCGTAATAGATTCTACAGCCAAAATGATTAGATGAACGCACATATCATAATATTTGGTGGCTATAACAATAATGCATTTCAATAATTTATATAAATATAAAATAACAACATCGAATGAATAAGTGATTTACTTACTATAAACCAGTGTCCCTCGATTTTTCCATTACGTTTATAATGTACCAACTCTTCATAATTGTATTTGACCGAAAGCTCTTATTCTGTTGCACTCATTAGATCACTTTTTACGTCAAGTACTTGTAAGTTTAAAAAGAATCAAGAAAAAATAGATTAGCCAATTGTCCCTCTTCAAAAGGTGTATATTTTCAAAAAAAAGTTCACTTTTACATTCTTCATACCATTGGATTCGTAGAAACTTCAGCAATAACTTCGTTTTAAAGAACGCAGTGTATTTAGATAATCGCTATCGATAAAAACGGAACGTTTAGTAGGACAGTAAAGTCTTGGTCTCTTCTAGCCTGAAACAAAATGTAAATATAAAAGAAAGATTTTAGATATACACTCAGGTGAGAAAATAATTACTATGAATAAGTTTTTATTGACTTTTATGAAGACAACATAACCTACTTCTGTTCCAAGATTAGTAAACCTTCATTATAGAAACTTTTCAAGGTTTTTTACATTTCTATTATTAGTGACGAGCTGAACGTAAAGAATGTAAAGGTACTTGTAAAATGTAATAAAATATAAAATAAAATGTAAACAAAAAAAAAATCGCTTACTTGTTTCTGTTTGCTAAATATATATACCAGTAGTGTTATATTAAAATTTAAAAAAATATTCATATTACACAAACGCGTAAATGTAATAGTACAAATATTGACACGCGATGATTAAAAATCATTTGATTGGCTGTCGTAATACCTAATACGTATAAAAAGTCGCTAACGAATCTGATTGGACAAACTATAAGAGACCATTTACAGAGGTGTGCATTTCAAGAAAATATTTTCGACAGTGAATAACTTATGATTCGCTGGACCATTTTGGATGATGTTACCACCAAAATGACCATCTCGGTGAGGCAATTCTAACGAGCCAAAATCCAATCACGGTATCCTATTACAGATTTGTAACATATTTCTGTACTGGACACAAATAGTCAATAAAAATTCAACAACCAATCAGATGGTTTAAACCTAATTTTAATAAGATACATGGCTCTTGAATGATTTCATGTCTACGAAAAATATTAAATAGCTTTCTTGAATATGTTTTATGGTCACTATTGTGGTGCTTGGCTCGTTAAAGTTATCGAGCCAACAATCCCAATTTGGGTATTAATGAGTGCTGTCCAGGTTAGTCCAATAATATACAGTATTATACAAAGTCCCGTGATAACTATCTAAATAATATTGACGCCAAATATCGATGTAGTTTATCGACGTGTTACATACTCTCTTTACTATTCTTCATATTGAAGAATGTAAGTATAAAAATTAATATTTTAAAGTGTTACCAAGAACTTTTTTCCTAACTTTTCTTTAGTAAAAATTAGATCTGACTTTACGATTAAGGTGGAAATAGTCTCTGCACCATATTCACATTCACTATTTGGTGCGATAATTTGGAGTTTGGTTGCTGGCTTGTGGTATCGCTTTTTCTCTGGTTTCGGAGGAGGTATCAAAGCAAACGTTTTATTTTGTTTACTGGTGCTTTCTCACTGGCTTGAAGACTTAGTAGTTCATGACAAAGGTAAGGCTTTAACTTTCAAATAAATTTGTGCTTGTTTAAATAATGGCTATAATGACTATCTTTGATAGTCAAATACTTAAGATTAGGTTGGGTATCAAATAATCATAGATCAAATCAGTTATACGTTAATAGTCACTACAGTCAGACTTCTCTAAGTACACCCTCTATAAGTGCATACACTCTCTATACTTGACCTCTATAAATGCACTTTTTCTTATTATTCTCTAAATACATGTTGAAGTGTGATCCTAAGGGCGTGCACTTGGAAGGTCTTACTGTATTATTATCGATAACATATATGTACATACATTATTTAACTTATTTGAACTATGATTATTTAATGACCAACTTAATTATAAATATCTATTTGATTATCAAGTTTTGTTTGATTGTATCGAACACTAATCCTATAAAATACTAGATCTGTTGTTATTCACTTTCGACGATGCCAACCCAAAATATGGATTTGAACTTTATAATAGTTTTTTATTAAGCCAATCATTAGAATTCTGCTTATTATTTTTTTCATTTTATTATTACCTTAAAAATACCAAAATTCGGTCAAAAAATTCTACGAGTTTTTGGGAAAAGTGGGGTTCGATCGTTGTAGCTGCGGATTTCGTAATATGCCATTGTACATCATATATCGCACCGCCAAATATTACATTCTTATGTATTACAATGTTGGTTCTTCATTTCAAATCTTGCTATCTTGCTAATGAATTAGATAAAGTTAGAATTCCGACATCAAATACTTTGAAAGAAAGCTAGGAACATGTTGACATCCTCTTAAATATTAACTACTCAATTCAGTATTTAATAATAAACCATGAAATTCAAAATATTAATTCAATCACTACAAGAAATTTATTAATGTACATTTAATCTCGAAATTGTTTATATATATATTACAAAAATTACACTGAAAAGAAAATCCAGATTCTATCTCGCGGTTGCTTGAGCAATATAAGCATCTAATTCTTGCGCAATGACTTGATCAGCACATTTTCCTTTTATTTCACTGTTTTAATAAATAAATACTATATTAAAAGATAATTCTACTATAAAAATATGCATGAATGTTAACACGTACCGTAGTAACTGAACATCCTTTAACGCAAGTGCTTCTTGACCTGCAGCCCTGAAATCTCCTATTTTTATATATAGGCCAGGTCGAATGGCAGGATCGCATCTTTGAATGTATTTGGCAGCCTCACTTTGTTGTGTGGCTTTGATACACTCTTCAACAAATGGCTGTCATAATAAAAATTTCAATAAATTGATTAATTTTGGAATACTAAAACATTGAGAATATTCAATGTGTACCTCATATCCAATAGGAGACTTCTTTGACTTTGAAAATCGATCTAGCTCTTCCCAATCTCTCATTTCGACCAAAGCCTTTAACTTAATCCACCAGAATCTAATTGAGTCGAAAAAAAATTACAAAAATTGTCGCATAAATAAACCTAAAAAAAAATTTTGATTGACTACAAACCGTTTATCAGGAATTTTAAAGTCTGATTTAAGCTTATTTGCTCTATTAGATTGATTCGCGATAATGCACTTGTGAACTGTCTCACTCAAAGGTAACCCGACAAATTTTTGATTCATGTCTTTTTCTAATTGAGCTTGTGATTGTAATAATTTAATGTGTTCGTCGACAGCCTAAAAATATTAGAAAAAGGTTAGAGCGATCGACAAATGTGGAAAAGAAACAGGAAATATACCTTCGCTTCAAAAGAATGCTCTTTATCGTCTTGATACGATTTAAGTGCAAGTTTCAGCTTGTTAATTCTTTCAGTTAAATCCTAAAGCATGAATTTTTTAGAGAATACGAGAGATATAATCAAATAATTATTTATAAAAATACCTACCTTTTGTTTATAACTCTCTAATATTGCTATATTAGCACTTTCTACTCTCCTATCATCCTGATAATAGAAGTCAGCTAAAAGTTTCAAATCTTGCTGCTTGCAATATACTTCTAATAAATTACAAGCCATAGGTTTATTATTGATGATCCTGAAAAATTCAGCAAGTGGAAGTTTTCTTTTGAGATGAAGCATTACTAAATAAACTATTAAATAATAAAGTAAAAGATGATCGTTAGCAAACCATTTTTGGACTATAATTTATTTTGATTCATACCTAAATCAGTATCACCGCTTTCAATCGCCTTTATTAGCGCTAACTCATCTTCTTGCATGCTTATAAGAAGAGGCACTTGATCAGCCGCACGTGGTTCATAGTCGAGTAACTGAAAAAAAAATGTTTATTTTACTTCAGCAATTTAAAAGATAACAGTCATAATAAATAAATAACATACTCTTGTTGCTAATTTCGGTTGCCCAACTTTGTGTGCAGTTCTCGCAATTTCAGCATAAGAAAGGCCGGGTCTGTTAGCCAGTTTTTCCACAATCATTCGACAAATAGTTTCCTCATCATCTGTAGATTTTTTAATCTATAAAATGAAAACAGAATATACATTATGAGGTAAGAGTTTATAGATTTTTAATATATAACAAAACGCAAATTAATATATGTATGGACTGCAGAAAATAATCCAAAGACTTTACTTGCCTTTGCGCAAGCCCAATGGATGAGAACTCGATCTGTCCTCATCTTTAAATATTCACAAATTCTTAATGCTAGCAAATGATGATGGCGGTTTATCAACCTGTCGATTAATGCGTCTGGTGAAATACGTATATATCTAAAAAATTTTGGTAAATAAATTATCTTTCATAGACACGAATGGTTTAAAAATAAATGACATTAACTGTGTATAAGTTATTGGTATTCCAATTTCGAAATATCGTACAGAATTTAGCACTCTTAATATTTGGCACATCTCTACAAAACGATCAGAATTATACGACTCGAGAAACGTTTTGCCAAACGCTGCCGCTTTAAGTAGACTTCGTTGCCGAACTTGGTTAAACTCATGCCCTGCAGCCTCGATACAAGCATCAACTGCATCAGCAAGTTCAGTACGAATGCTTCGTATGTTCTCATCAGCTTTTGGACTCCGTTTCTAAAACAATATGAATAAAAGTATCATGAAATAATTTATCTTTGTTTAGATTATTTTTGTTTAAACATTAGGTTGCATATTTCCTTACGTCAAAGTGTTCTAAAGCGTCAAATAACATTGCCGCTGGAGCAGTAGAGCCTATTTTGAAAATTTCCTCGGTAACATCTATGGGACAACAAATGTTTTAGATCACAAAAATTCAAACCAGTAAAAATATATATATATATATTTTATTTATTTAAAAAAAATAAAAAATAAAATACGTACTTGGAACTTTCTGTAAAAATTCACATTTGTCACTACTAATTATACGAACACCATCTATCTCTGGAATTAAATGTATAGCATCATCATAAGGGTATCTAATCCAATCACCATATGGTCCGACCATTAAGAGAAGTTGGTCCCAATATAAAACAACCGAATCAGTACCACACCTACGTATAAAAATTGATTGATTCGTAAGAATTAATTAATTGTGTTACAAAATAAATGTTCAGTAATGATACTAATAATAATAGTAGTAGTAATAATGATTGCAATAGTAATTATTATTATTATTATTATTATTATTATTATTATTATTATTATTATTATTATTATTTATTATTATTTATTATTATTATGCTATTTCCTACCAGACCAGCTGTTGAGGTGGTACTTGTGATTTTGTGGCAAATTCTGAAAGGTTCTTGGAAAAATCGATGGGGACAACCATAAGTTTACCTTCATTGGTAAAGAGAGCCAAAAATTTACCATTCGGAGATACATCCATCTTGGTAAAAGGACCTTGCTGAAGAAACTGAAATACAAATTATTTTAAATATCAAATTGATTGAAGGTTCGTTATCAAAAAAACACATTAAACACGCACTTGATCCTGAGATTCTATAGCATCAACAGTTAAGATCGTAGAGCCAGTAGCTAAAAATACTTCTACATGACGGCTGAGTGTATACTGAGGTGGGACTAATGTCCAACTATGAGGTGGTTCGTTCAATCCTTATGCCAAATGCGATAGTTAGTTAAATATTTAATACGTTATTTATTCAATTCTATAATAAAATTTACCTGGATCAGCCATAAGCTTTGGCCTAGGTTCATCAAAGTTTATCAGAGCAATAAGCTTAAAGTTCCCAGTCAAAGCTACTAGACCCGTTCCCCAAATCTTACAATCAATAACTAAATGATCTTTGGCTTCCTATAAATAAAATTACAGTTTATAGTAATATATCGAATAAGAAAGTATTCTCCTCTTCGGGAGTAATCTAATCGTAATACTCACTTTTCCAAGAGAAAATTGAGTAAAATCACCATGAATGTCATACAGTCTTATAATACCATCTTCCATGACAACAACTAGTTGTTCAGCATCAGTCCAACCCATTTTAATAATGCGGCCTTTGTCCCACTATAAAGTAAAATCGAATTGAATCAGAAAACTTTCAAAAACTTATCGAATAGATTAAAAATATCTCACTTGTAATTGTTCCAATAATTTTCCGGCTGATGTATAAAGATAAATGGTGGGTTTAACTGGCTGTTGCTTTTGCAACATTAAAACTTTTTTATCGTCACGAATCATTGCTACAAAATTAAAAATCAAAGTATATTAAAACAAAATCGCGTATTTTTTTAAAAACTATGCATACAATTATACATTTGCAGAAAATACCTATTGGCCCACCGAATGCAGCACCAGCTATCATATATTTTGACAAATCCATATGCTTCCATGACATCTGATATATTTCTTGCTTCCTAGACGTTAAAAGCACGCGTATAGTGTACATCAGTGACTTATCGAATAATACAATACTGAAAAGTACGATTGCTTCATCTTAGTTACCTGTAGAAGCGATCTTGTAATTGGTCCCAATCAGTTGCTGGGTGAGGAGACATCTTTGTAATTCCAAAAGACAACGACTCTGAAAACGTTAACGTTAAGATAATTCAAAACTTTAAATTCTCCGGCGTAACTCCCGATCACAATTTTTTAGCCAATAGAAATAGAAATAAATTACACAAATTTTATCCTTATAGCATTTACACATCTCAAAAACTGTCTCATTGTGTGTGGTGTTCTAAGTAAAAATATTTTATGAACCTCAAATTGATTCTAAATATTAACCTTAATTAAAAAAAAATTTGAGATGAAAATTAGTTTTTTCAACATTATCGTGAATTAAAATAGTCATTTCTCCGGATTAAGTATTGTTCATCTAATTCGATGTAGCAAACTCTGGTTGTAATCTGTTACATATTTAGTATTGGGCAATTAAATCAACTTGGTTCTATTGAACCTGTAATCTGGAACATTGGACTTATAGATTCCAGTTGGAAACATATGCATATATTGTTAGATAATTTCTTATAACTTAGCAAAAATTATAGAAAACTAACTAAAGAGTAGTGAGTAGGTTGATTTTTGTGAAGAACTTTTTTTATTAATTTATTAAATTGTATGGCTCAAGGCTAACTTTACAAGAGAATTTTACAAGCCTTTAAATATTAGTTTAGCTTTGCACAAATTTGAGTTATAGAAGTTCTAATCTTAACTAATAATTAATTAGGTGGTTAAAACCATTATACTACATTACTTTGGGTTGTGTCTGTAGATTCCATAGGTTCTATTATAGGTTCTATTATAGGTTGCAAGGTCTTTTGGATTTGGTTGCTCTAGTCGATTTTCGTTACACGAAACACGAAAATCGTCGAACTTCGATGGGAGGAATTTCGTCTGATTGGTTGATGTAAATCAATTGCCCGGATCTCTGATATAGATTTTTTTCTTCATCTTTGTACGATTCATAGGACCAATCTTCTGAAATGTATTCATCAAAGAATTCAATTGTCTAAAATAAATTATATAAATACCGGTATTTATAATTAGCATTTAAGTTAAACTCGTTTTAACTAAAGTAACAAAAAAAAAATATAGATCATAAATAGTTTTAAGTAATATTATAATGACATAATTAATATAATATACGAATTAAACTGCAACTATGTATCAAGCTTCAACATAATATATGGTTAATAGGCTTGTACACGTATCCTATCGGGTTCGTAAGTTTCCACAATGAGCCTCAATGTGTAAGATTAATAATTGTCGCAGCTGATGCTGAAAACGGCTGATGCTGAAATTCGGGTCTATTTTGATATGAATTTTTCAAAATTTTTTCGGGTATTTTTTCCTCGATTTTTTTTTATAGTTAAGTTAGTGTTTAGGGTTAGAATTGATAATTAACAAGTATATGTGGATTTTAGCAGGGCTTAGATTTTTAAATCGAGACCCCAAATTTCAGCTTCAGCTGTTTTCAGCATCAGCTGCGACAATAATTAATAATGCACAAAATTAAATATGCCCCCAATCTCTTGAATATAGGCCAGCATAGAGATTGACCTGTTATCTTTAACAGATGTATCCTAGCAGCCTTGACATGAGCACCATGGTTAATGGGCCAGTTACGCATGCCGTCTGGTGTGTAAAGCCTAAAGAGCTTCCAATATGCCTGGCCAATGTATAAAGTTAATAGATGTATAAACTAAACAGCTCCTAATATGACACATTATGGAAGAGTCCAAATAAATAACTAATAAAATAAAAAAAACAATACTAATAAAATAATATAAAATAATAGGAATAAAAGATAACAATAAAAGAAAAAAAGATAAATAAATAAAGTAAATAGATAATAAAAATATAAATATATATATCTCTGAGGTTCTTGTTACAATATAATTTTTACCTTTAATAATGTTTGGTTTTACTTCTCCTTCATTTTCTTTTCGCTTTTTGTTTTATTCTCTTTTGTATTCTTATTATTCTTCTTTTCTTTCTTTTCTTCCTTTTCTTCCATATTATAATGGTAATAGAGTGTTTAGTTTGAGCAGAAGTTTGATATAAAAATATTGTTACTGTAATAGACTGTTTCGTTTGAGCAGAAGTTTGATATAAAAATATTGTTATTGTAATAGACTGTTTCGTTTAAGCAGATGTTTGATAAATGATAGTGCAGCTATTCAGATATTCGTTAGAGCAGAAAAAGCAGAAGTTCATATTTAACTTAGGGACACTTCAAGAAAAATAAACCCAGTGATCCAGGAGGGTCCATCCAAATAAGGAGATGACAATCTTAATCATCAAAACAGTAAATTTTCATTATGTAAAAGATATCACATGCTGATTAGAATTAAGAATCAAATCTTCTGAGCGAATCACGAGTTTACACGAGCCTAATCGTTATATACACGCTAGTAACTATAATTGTTGACTTTTACTACTAGCCGATAGCTATTTCAATTTAACATTTAATATAATTTAAGGGTAGACGGTATATTTTTAAAATTATATATAAACTTAATGGCAAATTTTTTTTATATTTAATTTTATAAA